GGAGTTTGTCAGGATACTTTATCTACTGGTATGTGATGTGACAGGATGACAATTTATGTAAAAAAAGTCAGGACCAAAAAAAGTGAAAAATAAAAAGGCAGGACAGAGATTACAACTAAAACAAAATTTTCATCCTAGCCCCCCATAAAAATCAAATGGTAGCTCACTTATATGTCTTGGGAGTTTGTCAGGGTACTCATACTGATATGTCATGTGAGATTGCCAGGCTTTCATACTGGTGTCATTGAGATTGTTAGGTTTCTTATATTGATATGGGATGGAGTTTGTCAATGGTCTCATACTGATATGTATTGAAGTTTGTCAGAGTTCTTTTACTGATATGTGATGGAGTTTGTCAGTGTACTTATACTGATATGTGAATGAGTTTGTTAGGGTACTTTAACTACTAGTATGTGATGGAACAAACCTAACAAACTCATCCACATATCAGTATAAGTACACTGACAAACTCCATCACATATCAGTAAAAGAACTCTGACAAACTCCAATACATATCAGTATGAGTACATTGACAAACTCCATCACATATCAATATAAGAAACCTAACAATCTCCATGACATCAGTATGGAAGCCTGACAATCATACTGCCCTATAGATGTTAATTTCTGTGTCATTTGGTTTATTGTGGAGAGTTGTCTCATTGGCAATCATACCACATCTTCTTTTTATATCATACTGATATGTGAATGAGTTTGTTAGGGTACTTTATCTACTGATATGTGATGGAGTTTTTCAGTGGTGTACTCATACTGATATATAATGGAGTTTGTTAGGGTACTCATACTGATAAGTCATGGAGTTTGTCAGATTACTCATACTGATATGTGAAGTTTGTCATTGTACTAATACTGATATGTCATGGAGTTTGTCAGGTACTAATACTGATATGTGATGGGGGTTTGTCAGGCTTCCTATACTGAAAGTTCATGGAGTTTGTCGGGGTACTCATACAGATATGTGATGGGGTTTGTCAGGCTTCCTATACTGATAGTTCATGGAGTTTGTCAGGTACTCATACTGATATGTGACGGGGTTTGTCAGGCTTTCTATACTGATAGTTCATGTGGTTTCTCGGGGTTCTCATACTGATATGTGATAGGTTTTGTCAGGCTTCTTATACTGATAGTTCATGGAGTTTGTCGGGGTACTCATACTGAGGTATGTGATGGGGTTTGTCAGGCTTCCTATACTGATAGTTCATGGAGTTTGTTGGGGTACTCATACTTATTTGCATGTGTAGGACTTTGGAATTTGTCAGGTTTCTTAAACAGAAATGAGACGGAGATTGTCAGTTTAATAATACTGGTATGTGAATGAGTTCGTTAGTGTACTAATACTGGTATGTGAATGAGTTCGTTAGTGTACTAATACTGGTATGTGAATGAGTTCGTTAGTGTACTAATACTGGTATGTGAATGAGTTCGTTAGTGTTCTAATACTGGTATGTGAATGAGTTCGCTAGTGTACTAATACTAGTATGTGATTGAGTTAGTCTGTGTACTCGTACCAAAGTTCAAATGACAGGGGGATAAGCAATTAAAGGTCACTGTTCGGGCTCCAACAATGAGAAAAACGCATACCATATAGTCAGCTATAAAAGGCCCCGACCTTAGAAAAAAGATGTTTTCGACCTAGGGAAATGAGATGTTCACTACTAATATTATGAAGAGATGATGTATTCCTTTATAAACGACATCTTGTTCAGTATTATAAGGGAATGGTGTAAAAGGTCCATTGCGGTGTTTTTCAATATCACGAAGAAATTGTGTCGTTAGAGGCCCGCGAGGTATTGTTTAGTATTATGAAGAAATGGTGTCGTCTATGGCCCGTGAGGTGTTGTTCTTGCGTATCATGAAAAGAGATTGGTCCTTAGGGTCCTAGTTTGTTGTTCAGTGTTATGAAAAGATGTGAAAAAAGTGAACGAGATAAGATCTGTTCCTCGGTATAATAAACAGATGACACTCTGTCACTTTGGTTTTATGAATTTTATAAGAAGAAACGATTAGAACAACTTACAAAGTTAGATCAAGGTCTGCTTTATGTATAACATAAATTCATCTTTATTCCATGTTGTCTAGCTTGCGACGAAAGTTGTGGAAGGCGATACATAGGTGTTGCTTTTCCGGCGACGACGGCGTCGTTATTTTCTGCTTAAGTCAGATTGATAGGAACTACTTGTGATAAATCAATAATATTTCAATGCCCTGTTCCCGTATGTCATGGCCCTGCGATTTTAAATTAATTGCCAATTTGAATGTTTTCCGCTTGAGTTAGTTCGATAAGAACTACTGATGATAGACAATGATAGTTTCTATAAAGTTGCATTACTATCACTACATCTCAGTTTGTCGACTATTTCGAGGCTCTGTCCCCTAGTTTAGATCATCGTCCAGCGACTTTGAATTGATGACTCTCTGCCGACAGGCGAGACACATCTCTGTGTCAACAGTTTACTTGTGTTTGGGGATCGTGTTGCTCAGTCTAGTTTTATTGTGTAGTGTTTTGATGACTCTCTGCCGACAGGCGAGACATATCTCTCTGTCAACAGTTTACTCGTGTTTGGGGATCGTGTTGCTCAGTCTAGTTTTGTTGTGAAGTGTTTTATGACTCTCTGCCGACAAGCGAGACATATCTCTGTGTCAACAGTTTACTTGTGTTTGGGGATCGTGTTGCCCAGTCTAGTTTTATTGTGTAGTGTTTTGATGACTCTCTGCCGACAGGCGAGACATATATCTGTGTCAACAGTTTACTTGTGTTTGGAGATCGTGTTTCTCAGTTTAGTTTTATTGTGTAGTGTTTTGATGACTCTCTGTCCACAGGCGAGACATATCTCTCTGTCAACAGTTTACTTGTGTCTGGGGATCGTGTTGCTCAGTCTAGTTTTATAGTGTAGTGTTTTGATGACTCTCTGCCCACAGGCGAGACATATCTCTGTGTCAACAATTTACTTGTGTTTGGGGATCGTGTTGCTCAGTCTAGTTTTATTGTGTAGTGTTTTTATGACTCTCTGCCGACAGGCGAGACATATCTCTGTGTCAACAGTTTACTTGTGTTTGGGGATCGTGTCTCTCAGTCTAGTTTTATTGTGTAGTGTTTTGATGACTCTCTGCCGACAGGCGAGACATATCTCTGTGTCAACAGTTTACTTGTGTTTAGGGATCGTGTTTCTCAGTCTAGTTTTATTGTGTAGTGTTTTGATGACTCTCTGCCCACAGGCGAGACATATCTCTCTGTCAACAGTTTACTTGTGTTTGGGGATCGTGTTGTTCAATCTAGTTTTATTGTGTAGTGTTTTGATGACTCTCTGCCCACAGGCGAGACATATCTCTGTGTCAACAGATTACTTGTGTTTGGGGATCGTGTTGTTCAGTCTAGTTTTATTGTGTAGTGTTTTGATGACTCTCTGCCCACAGGCGAGACATATCTCTGTGTTAACAGTTTACCCGTGTTTGGGGATCGTGTTTCTCAGTCTAGTTTTATTGTATAGTGTTTTGATGTCTCTATGCCGACAGGCGAGACATATCTCTGTGTCAACAGTTTACTTGTGTTGGCGGATCATGTTGCTCAGTCTAGTTTTATTGTGTAGTGTTTTGATGTCTCTCTGCCGACAGGCGAGACATATCTCTGTGTCAACAGTTTACTTGTGTTTGAGGATCGTGTTTCTCAGTCTAGTTTTATTGTGTAGTGTTTTAATGACTTGTTCTTTTTATCGATTTCATTTTTTTGGCAAAGGTGTGTTTTTATTGTCCCCTATGTATCTTCTTCCTCTTATTAGTTCTATCAATGTCAATGAGATCAAGGTCAGATGAACCCTGTCACACAGCTATGAACACCTTACAACAATTTCATACACTAACTACAGTTGATTTATTGGTTATAGTATCTGAGAAAAGAAGCGCATTATGAAAACTTAATTTTAATTATGAGCTAAATGTCGACCAAAACCTGCTAGACGGACATGCACACAACAGTATATTGGATATTGAATAATTACAAATGGTATGTTGTGAAGTATGTGATGGAGTTTGTGTATGCGTCAGACATGATTCATATAACCCTGGCCTCATTTCCTAGTACACTGATCTGGCCATTAACGTTAAATTTTGTTTTCAGATATGTTAACTTAAGCAACAGTTCAGCTAAATAGTGTGTACATATCATTTTAATTTATGTCGGAATAATACTTCATATCCCTAGAAGGATCTCTTCAGTACTCTGAACAAAAACTCATGACCATAGGACGACAAAAGAAAGCTCTTTGTGATACTGAACAATACCTCATATCCCTAAGACGACATATCTTAATGGAACTCAACAACCTCTTATGTTATTAGGTCGAAATCGCATAATACTGCACAACACCTCGTGTCCCTATGTCGACAGCACCTCTTCATAATACTGAGCAGCACCTCACTTTCCTAGGGCAACAACGTCTCTTCATGACATTGAACAACACCTCATGTCCCTAGGGCGACATTGCCTAACAATACTGAACAATACTTCATGTCCCTAGAAGAGATTTCTTTATAATACTCAACAACACCTCACGATTCTAGAGTGGCAACACCTCACGATTCTAGAGTGACAACTCATGATTATAGAGTGACAACACCTCATGTTTCTAGAGTGACAACACTTCTTGTTTCTAAAGTGATAACACCTCATGTATCTAGAGTGACAGCAGCTCTTGATTCTAGAGTGACAACACCTCATGTTGAAGGGTGACAACACCTCATGTTTCTTGGGCGACAGCATGTCTTAAAGTAATACACAATCTTATATCCACATAAAATAACGACATATTCTAATGATATTTTTTCAAAAAAGAACCTACAGATTTTCAACAACATACCTTTATAACTATTTCCAATCAAGAAATAATTTCTATGTCCAAGGACACTTTTAATCAAATGCAACACTGATCATTTCTCCAAGTAACTTGTGACGCTTTTTTAGTGTTTAAAGAAAAAGAATGAAACTGATTTTTTTAATTTAATGCAGTCACATTACAAGTACATAATCTAACAAGCATTAGTCGATAATTTATAATATGATGAATGTAGAAATTTAATTCGCATGATTTGACATTTGAAAAAAATATTGTCTAAATAAAATGCCATATCTTAGTTTGACCCCACTTTATAAAATACTGCTTGTTCAATTTAGAATCCCTAGTTTTTCTGTTCATTATTGCTTCCCGCCCTTTTCATAATAATCCCAGAATTCACTATCCTTGCCAGTTTTAGGCGCCAGTTTTACTTTTTCAGGAGGAGGGGTAACAGGGGGAGTAACAAACTTAATGTCTGCAAATTCTGAATCTTTCGGCTTATTTTCTTTTGGTTTAGTATTCTTTGGCTTTTGTGGTGGTTTCTTTGGTTTTTCAGGGTCCTTTAGAATCGGCTTAGGTGGCGCTTTGGCATTCCTATCCCAGTTAACTTGAGCTTTTGGTTGTGATCCTAGATACTGTTCCCAACTCTTCTTCATTCGATCTCTCAGAATGTTGTGTTCAGACCAGGAACCTGTATGATGGAGTGAAATATGGACTTAACATCAAACAATCCAATTGTCCAATAAATAAATGTTCAGAGTATAAATACATAATAAAGCTAAACTACAAAAGTGCTACTAAGTTTAATACTGTTCTTAAGCTTTCTTCTTGTTTGCAACCGTCTCCACGAAGTAAGCTTCCCAAGCTTTCTTCATCCGGGTATTGATGACATTGTGCTCTGCCCATGTACCTAAAAGAAAGCCAAGGTTACAATATACAAAGCAGGATATTAGTATCTACATGTATCAAGAATGGATCCAAGAGTAGAAAGTGCTTACCAAATGTGACTCTGAAAATTTTGTACCTTCAAACTTACGAACTAAGTACATACTAATCTTATGATTTCCCCTTAAGGGCATCGCCATGTTTGTTCCATGGGGTCTAAGAGTCGCGGGGGGTGGGAGGGTGATACCGAGTTTAAATCAAAGTTTTGATTGACGAAAACAAATCTAATCAAGTCCGCTGCAAGTAAGGGCTTTAACAGGATTCTACTCTATAATGAAACTAATTCCTAGTGGTCCGAAAACACATAACCAAGTAGTTGTCAAAAACTTGGATTACTCAAGTTATAAAACGCAGACCACTCGTATGAAAACTGGAGAGCAATATACCTCCCAATGTTATAAAACGCAGACCACTCGTATGAAAACTGGAGAACATTATACCTCCCAATGTTATAAAACGCAGACCACTCGTATGAAAACTGGAGAACAGTATACCTCCCAATGTTATAAAACGCAGACCACTCGTATGAAAACTGGAGAACATTATACCTCCCAATGTTATAAAACGCAGACCACTCGTATGAAAGCTGGAGAACATTATACCTCCCAATGTTATAAAACGCAGACCACTCGTATGAAAACTGGAGAACAGTATACCTCCCAATGTTATAAAACGCAGACCACTCGTATGAAAACTGGAGAACAGTATACCTCCCAATGTTATAAAACGCAGACCACTCGTATGAAAACTGGAGAGCAATATACCTCCCAATGTTATACAAGAGTGCACACGCTGAAATGTCTCGCCTTCTTTACTAATCATTGATATTATGTTGATAGTCCTAAATATAAAGCTTTATTACAACTGTCACATAAACTTAACATTAACCAAGTAAACTAAACATTGACCAATGAACCATGAAAATGAGGTCAAGGTCAGATGAACCATGCTAGGCAGGCATGTACAGCTAACAATTCTTCCATACAACAAATATAGTTGACCTATTGCTTATAGTTTAAGAAAAACAGACGAAAACACAAAAACTTAACACTGAGCAATGAACCTTGAAAATGAGGTCAAGGTCAAATAAAACCTGCGTGACTGACATATAGATCATAAAATATTTCCATACACCAAATATAGTTGAACTATTGCATATAGTATTAGAAAAAAAGACCAAAACTCAAAAACTTAACTTTGACCACTGAACCATGAAAATGAGGTCAAGGTAAGATGACACCTGCCAGCTAGACATGTACACCTTACAATCATTCCATACACCAAATATAGCTGACCTATTGCATGCAGTATTAGAAAAAAAGACCAAAACTCAAAAACTTAACTTTGACCACTGAACCATGAAAATGAGGTCAAAGTCAGATGACACCTGCCAGCTAGACATGTACACCTTACAATCATTCCATACACCAAATATAGTAGACCTATTGCATACAGTATAAGAAAAACAGACCAAAACACAAAAACTTAACTATAACCACTGAACCATGAAAATGAGGTCAAGGTCAGATGACACCTGCCAGTTGGACATGTACACCTTACAGTCCTTCCATACACTGAATATACTAGACCTATTGCTTATAGTATCTGAGATATGGACTTGACCACGAAAACTTAACCTTGTTCACTGATCCATGAAATGAGGTCGAGGTCAAGTGAAAACTGTCTGACGGGCATGAGGACCTTGCAAGGTACGCACATACCAAATATAGTTATCCTATTACTTATAATAAGAGAGAATTTAACATTACAAAAAATCTGAACTTTTTTTTCAAGTAGTCACTGAACCATGAAAATGAGGTCAAGGACATTGGACATGTGACTGACTGAAACTTCGTAACATGAGGCATCCATATACAAAGTATGAAGCATCCAGGTCTTCCATCTTCTAAAATATAAAGCTTTTAAAAAGTTAGCTAACGCCGCCGCCGCCGCCGTAGCCGCCGCCGCCGCCGCCGGATCGCTATCCCTATGTCGAGCTTTCTGCGACAAAAGTCGCAGGCTCGACAAAAACGCAGACCACTCGTATGAAAACTGGAGAGCAATATACCTCCCAATGTTATAAAACGCAGACCACTCGTATGAAAACTGGAGAACAGTATACCTCCCAATGTTATAAAACGCAGACCACTCGTATGAAAACTGGAGAACAGTATACCTCCCAATGTTATAAAACGCAGACCACTCGTATGAATACTGGAGAACAGTATACCTCCCAATGCCATAAAACGCAGACCATTCGTATGAAAACTGGAGAACAGTATACCACCCAATGTTATAAAACGCAGACCACTCGTATGAATACTGGAGAACAGTATACCTCCCAATGTTTTTTTTGTGGACGTTTAAGAATTATTGAGGACATTATTCGGGAAACTGATTTATATTTTAAGTGGAGTTTTGCACGATATAGAAACCATTATGTCTTTTTTGTCAATTCCTGTTGAATGTTAAACATATACATACCCCCACTTCCCCCTTTTGTTCGATTTATAAATAATCATCTTCTTAAAACAGAATGATTATGAAAACATTATTTTTGTAAGTTACAAAATTTAAACCCATCGACATCAATTCAGAATAAGTCACAGAATACAATCAAATATGACTCCTGGATCCAATCTTGGATATGACAGAGTTGTAAAATAGTAACTGGCAAGTCAGAACGTACATGATTTAACAGTAAGTCGGGAAAAACGACTTCCATAATGGCTGAATGAGAGAACTGTGTGCATATTTTTATTATACCAGACTATCTAGCTAGAGACATACAACACCAGAAATCGGTAGCGAATTTACATTTGTCTCAACACACCGACTTCCCATTTGAAATATATGTCAAAGTATTAGGTCAGCATGAATAAAGAAAAAGAGTAATTGAAGGTACAGAGTTTTAAAATACTCAATTATTTATATTTTCTAATTTCTTCAAAACTTCCCCGTTCCTCGTGTAATCCTTTTCCAAAACAGAATTTAGCAATTAATGAATGACAATGATACTTTTTATCTTGAAGAAAACATATGAATTAAGAAAAGAAAAAGAAAAGGGCGTTCATTGAAAAGATGTTAATCGGAATATATACTAAAAAAAAAAATAGAGAATAACCAGAGAAAACATTAACAAAACTGGAACAGTACATCTTACATGATCATACATATCGTGTTCTGTACTTTGGCCTAAAGAACATGTGATTACTAGCACAAGATCAGGATTGGTGGACAACGAACAATCTCATTTGTTATCAGACTTGAAAATATTAAATAAATTTGGAGGTTTAGTGGCCGAAAAATGACAAAGAAATAAAATTTTGAACAATTAATGAAAACAGTATCTTCAAATTTGTCGAAAGCGTCTTATGATGGACATCTGCAAGTAGCAAAGTTAACATGTTAAAAATTGAGGAGAATATAGTTGATAGAGGAAATGTAGAGATACATGCAATGCCTGAAACGTCTATACATCATGCAACCACTACCGATCAGTATAAATATAAAAGTATAGATAATTGAATATTAAAAGTAGTTTCAACTACAGGTAAGTTAAAAGGAATAAAAACCGAAATAAAGTTACCGTATTATAATGTTTGTATGTTAAAAAAAAAAAACAAATAATACCATTACCTGTAGTATCAGAATGGCATATTTAATGTATTTATCGGCAATTTGTACATTTTCCCTTTGATCTTATACTGCCTAATATTTTTAAGAACATGGACAGGACTTGATACTCGAAAATACTAGACAATGCCGTCATGTATCAGTGCAGCAACGTCACGTGCTCAAATCCATCCGCATCGATTTCATTCACGAATACAACCGAACAAGTCTAGTCCAACTTTTTGTACGCATAGAAGTAGTTTTACTTACTATATCATTTTACTTCATATTCTCAACCAAAAATAAGACATCCAGTTAAAACAAATTGCCGATAAAAAGAATAATGTTTTTTTTTTATACTGACCATCAGCTCGAATATCAGCTCGCCTTAGCGGGCTCGCTTGATATTCTTGGTGATAAAGTCAGTTTCAAAAACAAAAATGTCATCATTCTATATGTATGTGTATGCTGTGTGGATTTTTATTATTCGTATAGATATGACTCTAATAAAACTTGTTTTAAGGAACCTCGCTGTTATTATTTAAGTACAAATATAAAGTTATTTGATATTATGAGTCATCATTTTTCGCCTTGAATTTTCTCGGTGTCTCTTCGTTAACCAGTTTTTTTTCCAAATTCATTAGCATGCAGTAGGTAATATATCGATAATTTTCAGTTTGAAATAATGATTATAAGCATCGGAAGAAATAAAAATCATTTTCCCCGGGAAACATTATGGTGAATCTCGTTCATAGCTAGAAATACCACGAGCTCAAATTTTAAAATCAAATGGTTAAATGCATTTTTTGCTTCACTTTGTTATTCGGGGACCAAGAAATAATCGATCCACAAGGTTAGTGAACAACCCAATAACTGATGCAAACGGATATGTCGACCTTTCCAGACTTCCTCATTTCCTCTAGTTTTATAGATTCTGTATTTCATATAATTATTCATAAAATGTATACAGTTTCTCACTGCTGTTATCAATATTGACAGTCTAATTTGATGGTGCATATGTGTGTGTTTTTTTGTTGTTTTTTGTTGTTTGTTTGTTTGTATTTGGTGACTGTCTTGTATATCTTATGTATTTTCCACATTTGCTAATTTTACAGATTGACCAATCGCAAACAGATTGTTTCTAACTTACTTAGTTCGTCTCTCTGATACCTCCATTTATCCGGGTCTGGGTTTCGATTTAAATGCACATCGTCTGTATATACGGATTTGGTTGTGGACGTATGGTGGTCTATGGTATAACCGGGGAACACATTTTGACGCATAAAGTTTCCGAGTTGTTCATATTCTGGTTTTAATTGTTTTTCTAAAGCAGTAATGGACACCCGGTCTTTCTTCTTACCAGAGGCTCTACTTTTAGCCTGTTCTTCTAAAGTTTGTTTGACTACTTTTTCATCAGATAATAAATTGTCACATACTCTAGTACCGTATTGATGTTTAATATTTGGCGGGATGTCGATTGCGGCTCTTGGACTATTTTCACCCCTTGCTGAAGGTTGTCTCCCTATGCACGTTTGAAGCATGTTATTGTTTGTGTTTTGAGATCTAATAGGAATGTCGGTCTTTTCTCTACGAGCAGCGAAATCATTCCCTGGTCGGAGAATATCCCCTATAAGACTGTACTGATGAGCTGGCAGTTTTCTCTCTTTACCATATTTATCATAGTTATAGCTACTTCTCTCGTTTAGGCCGACTCTATTCATTCGCCTAGCAAGTTGTGCTGCTTCCTCGGAAAGACGACTGCTTTTATTAGTATATGTTTGGTTTCCTCTGAATGACAGTGCGTCTCGTTCAGCCTCTCTGATGGAATTATCTGTTTTGTTAAACAGAGCTTTTAATTTTTCGTATTCAGCTCGGTTCTTTGCAACATACTCATCCGATCCTGAAAAGAAAATATATGTATTTTATTTTATACTAACAGCATATATTTTCCTGTGGACTGGCTTACTACCTTTGTATATAGATATATGATGATGTGGTATGAGTGCCAATGAGACAACTCTCCATCCAAGTCAAAATTTATAAAAGTAAACCATTATAGGTCAAAGTACGGTCTTCAACACGGAGCCTTGGCTCACACCGAACAGCAAGCTATAAATGGCCCCAAAAATTACTAGTGTAAAACCATTCAAACGGGAAAACCAACGGTCTAATCTATGTAAAAAACGAGAAACGAGAAACACTTATGAACCACATCAACAAACGACAACTACTGAACATCAGATTCCTGACTTAGGACAGGTACAAACAATTGCAGCGGGTTTAAACGTTTTGATGGTACCAAACCTTCACCCTTATCTGAAACAATAGTGTAACATCACAACATAGAAAGACACACTATAAAATTACACTATGAAGTTTTTCGGAACACATACGAATTTTGAAAACCAAATCTTGACTTGTTCTGGGTAATCATTCAATGAACGCCAATCGTTGTGTGAAGGATTGATTGGTGTTCGCTTAAGACACTTGAAACCAAATGTGTAATATTATAGGATATCAAATTTTGCAATACGACAGGAACTAAGTACGGAACTTCCAAGAAGCTATTGATTGAGATCTTTTACGTGCAATGAGTCGGAAATTCATCAAACAAGTATTTTTTTTCTCATAAAGCAACAAGTGTTTGAGTATATATGGATCTCCCACAGTTAAACGAAAGGAAGAAGTCCATATAGTCAAAGTACGTGCCTCTGCTAAGGCTGAGATATCTTCCTTGATATACAAGACATTATTAAATCAGTGGAATTGTGTGCCGCAGATAAGGTTAGGACAACTCGCTGGACATACAAGACATTTATAAACCAGTGCCCTCCTGGATAAACAAGACATATTGAAATAATTCAGCGATATGATGTGTCTAAGAAAAGAATGAGACTACTTGCTTGTCATACAAGACATTAATAAATCAGTACCATCCTGGATATAAAAAAAACAATTGAAATGAATCAACGATATGATGTGTCTAAGATAAGAATGGGACTACTTGCTTGTCATATAAGACATTAATAAATCAGTACCATCCTGGATATAAAAAACCCATTGACATGAATCAGCGATATGATGCGTCTCACTTAAGAGTGGGACAACTCGTTTGACATACGAGACATTAATAAATTTGTGCCTTTCTGGATAAACACTACATTGAAATAAATCAGCGATATGATGCGTCTCGGTTAAGGATGGGAAAACTCGCCTGACAGACAAAACATTTATAAATCACGAACTGTGCATTTCGATCTGAATATTCCAGTATAATTTGCTACTGGACGATATGTAACAAATACCTAACTAATGTCCTGTACAATAAGTATTCTGTCCAGTTTTTAAAATAAAGAGTAAAGATATGTTTTCGTCGATTGTTTCAACCTATTCATCATTTAACAGCTATCGCGTGCTGATTTGTTCTGACAACAATACAAGTAAAGTAATTATTCTTTTATGTCATTTGAAATAAAATGATATGGATCATAATGAACTGATGTATTGTATGCTTACCTTCTATGATGTATGGCTAATATGAAAACTGCATAACAACATAACAATCTATGAATGTGGTTACCCCGTCCTCACAAGGAATACAGATTAAATATTTAATTGTTATGTATATTAATCCTTAAACTTGAATGGTCTTTAATTGTCACGGTATACATAATAGATTGATTAACGGTGTTTGGTCGCAATAGACAATCAATATTTCCAGTACCATTTAATTTGTATAGATATTACTTTACTAAGTTTTAAATGACAATTCACTACGATTTCTATTTTAGAATAATTGTTTGCTTAAGTTAACGATTATATATGATACAATACACTAATTTTGATGATGTAATATTTTCAAATACGGGAACGGATTTTAATTAAAAAAGGAAAATTCGGATAAAAATTCAGATTTAATCTGACAATAGGATTACAAAGGTTTTCTTTATTTACCAAATCAAACCAACAACTATTGTTAGTAACACGGAAAGAAAACCTTTGTCTTCTATTCTGAAAGACCGATATTTTTTTTAAATTCTGAAAATTTCAATATAATTTGGCGCTCAAAAAGGAATACCATTATGGCCTTAACGTCAAAACGCTTAAGCACTGCACTTTCACTTCAGTCTTATATACCCCTAAAAACAGCATCATCCTGAATCAGCATGAAATATTTTCACACCAGTCTTCCATCTTCAAAAAGCCTCATCCTGATTCAGCATGAACTATTTTCGACTGAGCGGTAAGAAACCAACAACCAATCAATCAACCACATACTCTTACCGTATGACTTAATTATATGATATATTAAGATATCCATGTTATAAATTACCTGACAATAATTGTGATCGGAGGGAGTCCGGTAATTTAAGTTTATCCTTCTTTCTTCGCTCCAATAAAAGTTTTTGGTGTTCTTTTGGATCGATTCTTTTAATACTCTCAATATCTTCCTGGTCATAAACTTCTAATGCTGTTCCAAATAATGAATGTTTCGGCATGGCTGCAGTCCGTTTTGCAGCTGCATTCCTCCATGGATCGTCAATCGCTTGTTGGTCAACAGCTACCGCTGCCATAGTGGGACAACTGAAATTGCAACAGACTTCCACACTGAGATATTATAGATCATCACATTTAATCATAAATGAATACCATTATGGCCTTAAAGCAAAACCGCTTATGCACTGCACTTTCATTTCAGTCTTATATATCAGCGATTATTAACAGAAACATATTTTATGTTATCATCTATTTATAAACTTGTCAAGGAAAACAATTGAGTTTCCTGCCTAAATTCACATAACTTGTACACTAGATGTCTATTTCATTGTGTAATTGTGGCATTCTCTTTATGGATAGAAACCCTAAACAGCCTCATCGTGAACCTCAGTGGTGTATGCCCCAAAACTCTTTTAATTGATATAAATATGAAACGATATGAAGAAAACAATGATGATCCTGACTTTCAGAATGACAATGCCGATTATAGCGATGAGACGATACAGAAGATGATGGTGACCCCGACGACAGGAATGACAATGTCGATTATGGCGATGAGACAATACAGAAGATGATGGTGACCCCGACGACAGGAATGACAATGTCGATTATAGCGATGAGACGATACAGAAGATGATGGTGACCCCGACGACAGGAATGACAATGTCGATTTTGGCGATGAGACAATACAGAAGATGATGGTGACCCCGACGACAGGAATGACAATGTCGATTATGGCGATGAGACGATACAGAAGATGATGGTGACCCCGACGACAGGAATGACAATGTCGATTATGGCGATGAGACGATACAGAAGATGATGGTGACCCCGACGACAGGAATGACAATGTCGATTATGGCGATGAGACAATACAGAAGATAATGGTGATCCTGAAGATAAGAATGACATTACCGATTATGGCGATGAGACGATACGGAAGACGAAGGTGATCCAGGCGATAAGAATGAAAATGTCGATTATGGCGATGAGACGATTCAGAAGATCATGGTGATTCTAACCCTAGGAATGACAATGTCGATTATGGCGATGATTCGCTACAGAAGATGATGGTGATCCTGACGATAACAACAACAATGTCTATTATGGCAATGAGTTGCTACAGAAGATGATGGTAATCCTGACAATAAAAATGACAATGCCGATTATGGTAATGAGACGAAACAGGAGACGATTCTAATCCTGACGATAACAATAATAATGTCTATTTTGGCGAAATGACGATACAGAAGACGATAGTGATCCAGACGATAAGAATGTCAATGTCGATTATAGCAATGAGATGATACAGAAGATAGTGTTGATCCTGACGATAAGAAAGACACTGCCAATGATGGCGATGAGACGATACAAACGATGATGGGGATCATGACGATAACAATGACAATGTCGATTATGGCAATGCGACGATACAGAAGACGATTATGATCCTAACGATAACGATAACAATGTCGGCTATGGCTTTAAGACGACATGGAAGATGATGGTGATCATGACGATAACGATAACAATGTCTATTATGGCTATAAGACGATATAGAAGATGATGCCCAAGACGTGAAAATTTATAATTTAAATATCAAACCTGTGACAAACAACAATACTACAGAGATTTGCGTGCACTTAAAACAATATGACATTCAGACGTACAAGGAAAAAATGTCTGATCCCCGGTCGGGTCAACCCAAAATATTTCAGATAAATGTTGGTTTTTTCTCCACTAAAAACGTATCAATTGAGGGTAAAAACAAAGAATGATCGAACCGGTGTAGGAATATGTCCTGTGTGATAACTTGTTTTCCGGCAAACCACTACTTTGTTAACTAAGTGATCTGTTCTTGGTTACATCCATGTCTTTGGGTCTTTGGCAATCATCCCACATCTCCTTATTGCATGTTATGGATCCAGCTTAGCCTGTCATTGGTGTACAATGCAGTGTTTTTAATTACATGTCATCTCGTGTGATATTTCCCGCTGAACGTTAAGTACCAACAGCTCAGTAAAAATAACTTAATTGTCGTCATTAAGAATTCATACAAAAGCACCTCCAGAAACTGTAAGATCTTTAATCAACAAATAGTTCTAAAAATCATGCCTTCGCAAATGAAAAGAAATTCTCATATCTTCTATGAAATATACTAGAGAAAACAGACGGAGAAGATACCAAGGGGCAATAATATAGTATATAAGATAGACTAAGATCGACGTCCGTTCCTCAAATCGGAATCCAATCTGACGTCATAATAAAACAAGAATTAAAAAAAAATTTGGTTCTCTCTAATGAGGTCCTTTTAGTTTTCGTAAATCGAAGTCCAATTCCTACCTTCTCTAATCGACGTCATGGTTGTAAACATCCTAACCAAACGAAGATTATAACACCAAATACAAATTTGAACCAAACCAATACCAAATTGAGACCTCGTGGCATAAAATTTATCAATATAATTTTTACATTTCTGGTCACGTGATTTTAACCGCATTCATATCAATTTTGCTTTTGTCTAACTCTTTGCTATGAACATTTTGTTTCTTGATTAATTCTAATGATTTATGAACTGTATTGCATTTGATTGTTTCCTGCGGTCTTCCTCTCTGAATTTCTAAATCACGAACTTTTTTAATCAATATTAGAAATGAAGTTTGAGTTGGATGGATTAATTGGCGTCTACCTTACATCCATGTCAGATTTTTTACGTGCTAGCTTACATAGTACTGTCCACATGAAGACACACCACTACACAGACACAATATTCTGTACTATCCACATGAAGACACACCACTACACAGACACAATATTCTGTACTATCCACATGAAGACACACCACTACACAGACACAATATTCTGTACTATCCACATGAAGACACACCACTACACAGACACAATATTCTAACTCCAAGCCAACCAGATTGTGCTTTTACTACTAATTTTCGCGTGTTTGGCGAAGAAGCAACACACACCAGATCGAACCAACGCTATATGCAACCATCATTAAGACAACGGAAGCAAAATAAACAATAACTACAATAAAAACAACAATACTCAGATATGGATACACGGCATAAGGAACCTTTATCGCTGTGAAACAAAAAGTGTGATTGACATTAAACAATACAACATAATATATTTTGCACAGAACGTCCGACAAATAATGTTTGTCAGCGTAAAATACCCAATAAGCGTGTCATATCCTAGGTTTTAATACCAAAGACAAACAAATCATCTCGGCCGATTTAGACACATCCTTAGATTTAATACCAATTCATAAAACATATTTGGACAACCATATCTTCGTGTAATGTTTGCAAATTTTCGACGGTTTCAGTGTAGAAACTTAACAATATGAAAGGTGAAGAAATTGAAACCAATAGTTGAACCCAAACCCCCTTTTTTATTACAAGTTGTGGATATTAGTAAAGTGAAACACCAGTGAAAATCTGAGAGCTAATTTTTTTCCGGCATTTAAATGGCTTTCTAGTTACCGTCACTAAGCAATTTGACTTGGAAGTTCACTGGTCAAAAACAGTTGCTAGCAAATACGAAAAAACCCGCAAACATAAGTCCTAATATAAGTTATCTACGTTCATATCCATATCTACGGATATGAACGTAGATAACGAATTTATCCCCGGTCTTAGTCTAAATCTGGCGATTTTTAGAGAAATTCGACCACAAAGTTAAACGTGAAAGCATCGTTTTTTTCATTTTTTAAATATCTTTTATTGAAATTTGGGAATTTGACATATCTTTAACGGGGTGTAGGGTACTACCTTTGGTAGAACCCTACAGGTAGTCAAATATAAGACGTTTTTAATCCAGAGACAGAGAAACGGGAATGGGTCGAATTTGGCGCTCAATGTTGTGAGAGTTACATCATAGACGGTGTGACGTCAACGTGGGTCATTTGCATAGCTAGGTCAGTAGTCCCATTCATTGACAATGTGGCAGCCAAGTAATGCATTTACTAAAATGAGTGCAAATGATCGACATAATAAGATAAAATCGTCAGTTGATTAAATATTTAATTACAGACATCATGGATAATCTACAGAATTCGATATTTCACAAGGAACAACCATGGAACTAAGGAAAACGCGCGTGATGTTCCCCGTTGTAATGGGTAGCAACGTCCGGGTATATGGGTTAGCAACACCCAGGGGCTATGGGTTTTGTAACTGACGACGTGCATTAACCAATCAAAATCCTAGAAATATACTAAGCCGGGGATAATAGCATATATATAGCATGATATAATTATTATTTGATGAAAATTTTATTTCGCTTGAGCATTTACAATATTGTTATCATTGCGTCAGGTATACACCTTATCGCTATTTGTCCGCCATTACTGGACATCACACAAGTTCCCGTGAAATTCTGACGTCATAATAGAAAATGTCTGACGCCACAATGGAAAAGTGATTGTTGTATGACGTCAAAAGTTCGAGCGGGACAGATTCTCGGGTCAAGCGGGAATAGCGATAAGGTGTATTGTTTTCACGGTGAGAGTAAACAGTCGATCAGAATGATTCCAAAATGAAAAAATGATCTCGATTTTTTACAAGAATTGACAGAAAGAGATACAAACCAAGAGATGCTTTTGGGATGAAACATGATTATTTAGTCATTGGGAAGTATTCAGATCGTTCGACGAATCTGAGATAAGGATAATTTATTAAAAGGGGGAGGGACCAATGATAAATTTTGCATAAAAAGGGGGCGGCATGAAAAAAAAATCAAAATATACAAAGAAACACAGTTATATGTCAAAATGGGAACGAGAGTCACCCTGTCCCCTTCCGGATTAGCACCTTTTTCAACAGATACAAATTTACACTGAACAGCTGATCCGGCCGTAATCTGTATCAGTATATAGTATACCCTAGCTTTTCAGTCACAACAACTAACACTAATGGGTAAACTGAAATAATTAATTTATTTCAGACTGTTTATAACGATAAAAAAGCAAAACATTACCTTATTGTCAATTACATAATATTCCTTTCTCTATCAACAATAATCAACTTCCGACCTTTGTACGCGAAACTCGTTGCTAGGGGCGTGGTTTTAAAATATCGTTGTTCGATAATTTCCGCCAATACTCGGACACTGTTGTTATAAACGTCACGAGAACATGCGTACCCCAAAAAATGTACGTAAAACTCTTTCCGGTCAAAAAAGAAGACACTAAACGGATTCTTCAAACGAAAATAATTTTAATAAGTAAGAGGCACAAAGTTAATTTGATGAGAAAATTACAACAACCTCGAATAATCACCCTTTTTATATATTTCACACTCGGTTTTGACACGAAATATTACTTTCGAACTCTTTGAATGTCCTTTTGGAATCTTTCACCTCTCTTCTTCATGCATAAAAATAAGATATGGTAATGCTGACCTAAAAAGGAGCAATTAAAAATCACAAGTCTAAGAAATACAGAAAACAAAAGACAAAGAGAAGTAACATAAAAAGGATAACAACGTTTCAAAAAACACTACATAGAAAATTAATAAATGAGCTACACTATAGTCCGACGTATGAAGGCGTCCCAGAAAAATATTAATAGCCTTTGAAGACTTCATAATTATTTGGACTAGAGCTACACCAACTCAAACAAAAAGCTGAGTGTGAACTTGCGGGGTACACTCATACCTTTGCCAACTCGTGCCCTATTTTTACCAATGCGCTTTAGCATGGTTGTGTTTCATTAATTAGGTTATATTGAAAATTTTATTGTTAATTCTATTTTGATCTACTGATTTGATTTTTCTCAAGGCCAAAAAAAAATATATGTCTGTTTACGGTTACCCGACTGTCCCTATTTTGGGGTGCCGACCCAAAGCCATTTTATTCAAAAATGACATCGAAAGTGAAAGTATAAAGCCATAAACACCTACTTTCAGTTTAAAACAAAAGTGAAAGAAGGTGCGTAATCATCTGAGCGCTTTAATTTTAAAATGGCGTACTCGATATTGAAGTGTTTTTAGGATCTAGATCTCAATGGCAGCATGCATGGCCCAACAGGCTGAGGCAGCAAGTGTGGTCGCATTAAAGTTCATTTGTCATCGTGTTTCTTATCTATTCCCAGGTTTGTCTTTTTGTCCTTTTTGACTAACGCTTCAGTTGTCTACTCTTTATTTCTTCTAAAAAAACACAGCACCAAACTTGTGAGCAATGTTCCTGGGAAGGTTATATTTATTATGGTATAAAAGAATTTAATTTATTAAAAGTTTAATGCATCAAATTTGCAACAGTGAAAGAAACATTCTTTAATACAAGGAGTTGGTACAACCCCCAAAACTTGAACCAGTACGTTCATATGTATAAATCAGGTTTTGTCATCTTTCCTCGTTTCTGATGGGTCTTCTTGTTTTATATATTGATTGTTCATACACCAGTACAGTATAATGAATTTATTTCTGCATATATGCCTGCATACATGTACATTAATAAACCTATATAATAGAAAGGACAAAACAATTTATTTTCAGTTTATATGACAGTAAAAAGTTAATATAGTCACTTAATATTAGTTAAAACAACATGTAACAACATCACACATCTCGCCAAAAAAAAAAATGATAAAAAAAAAAAAAGGGAAATACCTACCTACCTACCCTATTTTTTTAAAGGATGTAACCTTAAACAGACATATATTTTTTTTTGGCCTAATGTTTTAAATGTTAAAGGTGTAACATAAAATATTGTCCCCCATGAAATATTGTCTGTCAGACAAAATTTCATATAAAATATCGCCATGGACACTATTTTATAATGAAATACTGTCCAGGACAATATTTCATTATGAAATAGCGTCCTTGTCCATGAAATTTTGTCACCTGACCTTCTGGACAATATTTCACTATGAAATTCTGTCCATGACAATATTGCACTATGAAATAGTGTCCGCGGACAATATTTTATATGAAATTTTGTCTGACGGACAATATTTCATGGGGGACAATATATATGTTCACTGTGAAATACTGTCCATGAAAATTTCTTAATCAAATTATTAAAAAATAAAAACTGTACACTTGAGCATGCAGAATGCAAATTTTAGATTTATAACTGAAATCATTTTGTAAAGCAAGTACTTTTCATCTCAAACTAATATTTATTTTTATATAAGCCAGATTCAAATTTCCATAGATACTTAATAAATTGTTTATAGATTAAAGAATTGTCTAACATATGTTCCATTGTACAACATTATACTGTATAGATATAAGTAATGTACTGACAATCAAAAATTGAATGTACTTGTAGTATTTGTATATAATAGATTGGCGGATCTTTTTCAACGGCATTTTGGAGGTACAGGAATAATTGGAATGCCCTTGTCCAATACTTGTATTTCACTTGATAACCTCCCCTTCATGAGACAAAGTTTATGACAATCTGTCTATGAAATATTGTCTCAATACACACAAAAATAACCTCCCTTTACCAGGACAAAATTTCATAGTTTTCATCTGTGAAATATTGTCTATATACAGACAAAATTTCACAATGAAATTATGTCCTTCTCTGGACATAATTTCATAGATGACGACAATATTTCATGATACATAGTCATGAAATATTGTCTTGGTGGACAATATTTCATAGGACAATATTTTGCTTTACAAAGGCAGTGTCTGCGCGCATGCGGGGACGAGTAGTCAAATTGGCATTCATAGGCTACGTGTCCATGCATCCCGTTTTATAATAAAATGTCATGGGATCGGGAATGAAATGTGAAATATACACGGAAATTATCGGTAATTTGGGGATTTTGTGAATATTCAGTGAAGAGAACGGCAAATAATATTTTCCATTTGTATTTATTAGATAATAATACATAATAAACATTACAAATTAGATGCACACTGAAGGAATAAAAGTGTACAGTCCCTGTAAAAGAAAACATGATAAAAATTAGAAACTATGATAAAATGTTAATGCAAATTAAAAGAATAAATGGAGTATGGCCACGAAGTGCCGATATTGGCCCTGTGGTGTGACAAAAAATAAAAGTGAAATAAGGTGGATCCCTTATAGCTAAAACATAAATACGTATATCGTTATTTGTTATTATAGTATAAAATCATATTTTTGTGAAGTAATACCCGGTATCAAACCGGAACGCTCAAAATGTCCAAATTCTTAAAGAATTTCACACTTCCTGGTTGAATTTCGCATTGGCCACAGGCCTCGACCAAAGTAATTTTACTCTTATTTTGATTGTTTGACACTTTGACTCAGTTTGCAACATTATTTAGCGTGTTCGAGGCCTGTGGCCACATCGAAAATTTAACTTTTGCTAACAAGCAAATCCTGATTCAACGCCACCATTTCCGAGGTGATTCTGTGACGAAATAACTGTACCGAGAAATTGTACAATTGCTATAAATAGAATAAATTCTATAATTTATTATTTTCTTATTTATAACAAACAAAAAAGAAGAAAATGGAATAACAAGTCTTTGTTTTTAGCGAAGCTTCGTTAACCGCCGATCCAACGAGGGTTTTTAAACATGTATACATACCTCCTCATAACTGTTTTTATTAGAAAACAAGACAAATTGGTGGAAATAAAAATTATGAATTTGCAAATTATTTTAAAGTTCATTTCCACGTTATTTTGTAATAATTAGCCCGGTCTGTGCTATGCAAACAAGAATATGACAGTTTTAAGTTAGAGCCGTAGTTTTTTTCTGTAAAATTATACATCCAGCAGATTGAACTTCACATGGATACGGATTTAATGAGGTCGAATTATCCACTTGCAAGTGAATAATTCATTAGCGCTATTTCTTTGCTTATTTTGACAAAAATGAACCAAACTTGCTGCTAAAAGCGAATTATTATTTCACTATCTCACTTTCATTAATGATTGAACAAAAAAATCTTTTTTTTTTTATATCTCTTAGCTAATGCCCCTTTAACTTTAACGAGAACACGAATCATAAAATAATAAAAGTATTTGTTCTTTTAAAACGTAATTGATAGAAACATGCAAAAGTCAGATAGATTTAATTGTATATAGCTAAATCGCTAAATGAAATTGTCCACAATGGACAACTGAGAATGAGTATTCTGTCAAATTTTTTGAGTTTTTTTTAACTAGGCAGTGGCTCTTTTGCCGCTGCCGGCAAAATAGAAAATATGCTATTTTGTTGTCTTTGATTAAAATATCTCAATTAAAACAAGCAAAATAGCATATTTCTATAGCAATGACTATTTTGCCGGCGCCGGCAATATAGTGAATTTGTTATTTTGCCGGTTCTTTGTAAGGAGTGAATTTTAATATTTACTTTGTGCATTGTCAACATAAAAGAATCAAATTATTATTCGATATATAGTTGAATAAGATAAATGTCAAAATATTTCAGATACATATAATCATTTAAATCATTTATTAGTCCAAGTGAAAATAAGAATTTGTAAAAAGGAATAAAAATAAAAACTATTGAGCATCCATTTGTAGCAATGAAATCATATCAAAACATGAAATTACTTCTAAAATCAGTCTAATGCTACATGTATGCATAAGAATAAAATCTCAGATTTTTATACGACCGCAAAAAATTTTTTGTGGTCGTATATTGGTATGACGTTGGCGTCGTCGTCGTCGTCGTCGTCGTCCGGTGTCGTCCGAAGACACATTGGTTTTCGCACTCTAACTTTAGTTTAAGTGAATGGATCTTTATGAAATTTTACCACAAGGTTCAATACCACAAAAGGAAGGTTGGGATTGATTTTGGGGGTTATGGTAATAACAGTAAAGGAATTAGGGGCCAAAAAGGGGCCAAAAATAAGCATTTTTGTAACTTCCAGACATAACTTGTGTGTTAGTGTATGGATCTCTCTGACATTGTACCACAAGGTTCCATATCACTAAAGGAATGCTGGCATTGATTTTGGGGGTAATTGCCTCCAAATTTTAGGAATTAGGGGCCAAAAAAGGGGCAAAAAACAAGCATTTTTCTAGTTTCATGACAATAACTTGTGTGTAAGTGTATGGATCTTTCTGAAATTGTACTACAAGGTTCCATATCACAAAGGGAAAGCTGGGTTTGAGTTTGGGGGTAATTGCCCTAAACGTTTAGGAATTTGGGGCCAAAAAGGGGCCAAAAAACACATTTTTTTCTAGTTTCCAGACAATAACTTGTGTTCAAGTGTATGGATCTCTCTGAAATTGTACTGCAAGGTACCATACCACAAAGGGAAGGCTGGGATTGAGTTTGGGGGTGATGAATCATAATGGGGGTTCAAAAAATTTTGGGGGGGGATTTATTTTTTTTTCATTTTTTTTCTTTTTTTCCTTTTTTGTTTCTTTTAAAATTTTCCATTTTAAGTTGGTTATTTCTGATTTATATTTAAAATCAAATAATAATGATATGGTAGGAGATACACACCAAACAGGATGTGTAAATTATTATATAATAAGTATTGTGCAATAGCAAGAAATTTTCAATTGCACAGTATTGCACAATAGCAAGAAATCTTCAATTGCACAGTATTGCGCAATAGCAAGAAATCTTCAATTGCACAGTATTGCACAATAGCAAGAAATATCCAATAGCACAATATTGCGCAATAGCAAGAAATTGTCAATTGTACAGTATTGCGCAATAGCAAGAAATATTTAATAGCACAGGATTGTGCAAAAGAAGATACTTCCTATAAATTGCTTATTTCTTGACCAATTTCAATGGGTTCTTTAATATGCTGAATCTAACCGTGTATTTAGTTTTTGGATTTTTGGCCCCGTTTTTAAATTGGTCCACATTGAGGTCCAAAGGGTCCAAAATTAAACTTTGTTTGATTTCATCAAAAATTGAATTATTGGGGTTCTTTGATATGCCGAATCTAACTGTGTATTTAGATTTTTAAATTTTGGTTCCGTTTTCAAATTGGTCTACATTAAGGTCCAAAGGGTCCAAAATTAAACTTAGTTTGATTTTAACAAAAATTGAATTCTTAGGGTTCTTTGATATGCTGAATCTAAACATGTATTTAGATTTTTGATTATGGGCCCAGTTTTCAAGTTGGTCCAAATCGGGGTCCAAAATTAAACTTTGTTTGATTTCAACAAAAATTGAATATATGGGGTTCTTTGATATGCTGAATCTAACCATGTATTTAGATTTTTAATTTTTGGGCCCCGTTATCAACTTTGTCCACATTGAGGTCAAAAGGGTCCAAAATTAAACTTTGTTTGATTTCATCAAAAATTGAATTATTGGGGTTCTTTGATATGCCGAATCTAACCGTGTATTTAGATTCTTAATTTTTGGTTCCGTTTTCAAATTGGTCTACATTAAGGTCCAAAGGGTCCAAAATTAAACTTAGTTTGATTTTAACAAAAATTGAATTCTTAGGGTTCTTTGATATGCTGAATCTAAACATGTATTTAGATTTTTGATTATGGGCCCAGTTTTCAAGTTGGTCCAAATCGGGGTCCAAAATTAAACTTTGTTTGATTTCAACAAAAATTGAATATATGGGGTTCTTTGATATGCTGAATCTAACCATGTATTTAGATTTTTGATTTTTGGGCCCGTTATCAACTTTGTCCACATTGAGGTCAAAAGGGTCCAAAATTAAACTTTGTTTGATTTCATCAAAAATTGAATTCTTGGGGTTCTTTGATATGCTGAATCTAACCATGTATTTAGATTTTGGATATTGGACCATAATAGGTGAATGTCCAATTTAAAATTTTTAAGTTCTTAGACCACATTCAATCTGTGTTAGAAACCTATGCTGTGTCAAATATTTAATCACAATCCAAATCCAAAGCTGTATCAAGCTTGAATGTTGTGTCCATACGTCCCCCAACTGTTCAGGGTTCGACCTCTGCGGTCGTATCAAGCTGCGCCCTGCGGAGCATTTTATTAAACTATGCTGTAAAATAAATGAAAGACCAAAAATCTCATAGCATATCAATTTGATAAAAACGTTATACAGTCTAATGCTGCTATATATTATCATGATATATGAAAGAAAATAACAACTTTAATGTATATAAATTATAATAAAATATTGGGTACAAGTTGGTAGAAGTACAAGTTGGTTGAGTACGAGTTGGCGAAGGTACAAGTTGACATGTATCCAACTTGCGTATTCCCTGTTGGAATTCTATGTCTGTAGCTATTTTCTTTATTGGCTGCCCTCAAAATCGTTTATCAAGCCCTAATATGAGGCAGGCATTACCTGTGAAGGGGACAAAATCCGTAAAAATAATTCTTTTATAATACTTATATTTGCCAAATTAAAAGTAAAGAAAAATATACTATAAAGGTCATCAAAATTCTCTTCTATATTGAATTTATTGTTAATTTGTTCTCCCCCTAAATACGCATGAACCATTTGCCACTGGACATACAGCAAATAGCAATCAATCAATCAATTCAATTTCATAACTTTCTTTTTCAGGAATATGACCAATCAAGTATTGAGACGCCATGCTCTGCGACTTGGACGTTCAATTGTATCGCTGAACAGACAGATCAGTTATTGTTCACAAAAAGTGAAATTATTTCAGATGTCAGAAACAGTTCAAAAGTCATCACAATGTGCATTTCAAGATTTTTCACGACATATGTCAACAGAACCAAAGTTTGAAGCATTTAATGTACAGGATACAGATGATTTTAAACACAGAGTTCTGGAAAGTTCTACACCAGTAATAGTAGATTTCCATGCCACGTAAGTATCTTAAACACAGAGTTCTGTAAAGTTCTACACCAGTCATAGTAGATTTCCATGTAACGTAAGTATCTTAAACACAGAGTTCTCGAAAGTTGTACACCAGTAATAGTAGATTTCCATGCCACGTAAGTATCTTAAACACAGAGTTCTGTAAAGTTCTACACCAGTGATAGTAGATTTCCATGCCACATAAGTATCTTAAACACAGAGTTCTGTAAAGTTCTACACCAGTGATAGTAGATTTCCATGCCACGTAAGTATCTTAAACACAGAGTTCTGGAAAGTTCTACACCAGTAATAGTAGATTTCCATGCTGAGTAAGTATCTTAAACACAGAGTTCTGTAAAGTTCTACACCAGTGATAGTAGATTTCCATGCCACGTAAGTATCTTAAACACAGAGTTCTGGAAAGTTCGACACCAGTAATAGTAGATTTCCATGCTGAGTAAGTATCTTAAACACAGAGTTCTGTAAAGTTCTACACCAGTGATAGTAGATTTCCATGCCACGTAAGTATCTTAAACACAGAGTTCTGTAAAGTTCTACACCAGTGATAGTAGATTTCCATGCCACTTAAGTATCTTAAACACAGAGTTCTGGAAAGTTTGACACCAGTGATAGTAGATTTCCATGCCACGTAAGTATCTTAAACACAGAGTTCTGGAAAGTTGTACACCAGTCATAGTAGATTTCCATGCCACGTAAGTATCTTAAACACAGAGTTCTGGAAAGTTCGACACCAGTCATAGTAGATTTCCATGTAATGTAAGTATCTTAAACACAGAGTTCTGGAAAGTTCGACACCAGTAATAGTAGATTTCCATGCCACGTAATTATCTTAAACACAGAGTTCTGTAAAGTTCTACACCAGTGATAGTAGATTTCCATGCCACGTAAGTATCTTAAACACAGAGTTCTGTAAAGTTCTACACCAGTAATAGTAGATTTCCATGCCACGTAAGTATCTTAAACACAGAGTTCTGGAAAGTTCGACACCAGTCATAGAAGATTTCCATGCCACGTAAGTATCTTAAACACAGAGTTCTGTAAAGTTCTACACCAGTCATAGTAGATTTCCATGCCACGTAAGTATCTTAAACACAGAGTTCTGTAAAGTTCGACACCAGTCATAGTAGATTTGCATGTAACGTAAGTATCTTAAACACAGAGTTCTGGAAAGTTGTACACCAGTAATAGTAGATTTCCATGCCACGTAAGTATCTTAAACACAGAGTTCTGTAAAGTTCTACACCAGTGATAGTAGATTTCCATGCTACGTAAGTATCTTAAACACAGAGTTCTGTAAAGTTCTACACCAGTAATAGTAGATTTCCATGCCACGTAAGTATCTTAAACACAGAGTTCTGGAAAGTTGTACACCAGTAATAGTAGATTTCCATGCCACGTAAGTATCTTAAACACAGAGTTCTGGAAAGTTCTACACCAGTAATAGTAGATTTCCATGCTGAGTAAGTATCTTAAACACAGAGTTCTGTAAAGTTCTACACCAGTAATAGTAGATTTCCATGCCACGTAAGTATCTTAAACACAGAGTTCTGGAAAGTTGTACACCAGTTCTGGAAAGTTGTACACCAGTAATAGTAGATTTCCATGCTGAGTAAGTATCTTAAAAACAGAGTTCTGGAAAGTTGTACACCAGTAATAGTAGATTTCCATGCTGAGTAAGTATCTTAAACACAGAGTTCTGGAAAGTTGTACACCAGTAATAGTAGATTTCCATGCAACGTAAGTATCTTAAACACAGAGTTCTGGAAAGTTGTACACCAGTAATAGTAGATTTCCATGCAACGTAAGTATCTTAAACACAGAGTTCTGGAAAGTTGTACACCAGTAATAGTAGATTTCCATGCTGAGTAAGTATCTTAAACACAGAGTTCTGGAAAGTTGTACACCAGTAATAGTAGATTTCCATGCTGAATGTTTCTTCTACTTTTACTCTGATAGCAAGGTCACTCTGAGAAAAATATATGTGTTGATATAGATATATTTGTTCTCTCACGATTACAGAACATATAAACAGATTGTGAATGCAATTGAATAATGATATCAATTATAATGATGGATGTGATCCAGTACAGGAAAGTTCTAAAACAATAATAGTAGATTTCCATCAAATATAATTATCTGAGATACACAGTTATTCCAAGTTGTAGTGTGTATTAATATATATATGAGGTGTGAATCCTGGAATTAAAACTACATTTGTACATCAATTCACATGTCATTATTGTATTTATAGATAGAAAAGTGTTAACTATTATGAACAAGGGTGTATATACCATCATACTTCCTTTTGCATACATCATCTACATAGAGCAATTTTCATGTTCCATTTATCTATTTTTAGTTGGTGTGGACCCTGTAAATTGTTAGGTCCAAGGCTTGAGTCCATTATAGCATCTAGTGCAGGAAAAGTGCATTTAGCCAAAGTAGATGTTGATGACAATGCAGAAATAGCTATGGATTATAAAGTAAGTTGATGTCAATGTTAATGGATAAATAGCTATGTAATTTAAAGTAAGTTGATGTCAATGTTAATGGATAAATAGCTATGGAATATAAAGTAAGTTGATGTCAGTGACAATGGAGAAATAGTTATGGAATAAAAAGTAAGTAGATGTGGATGACAATGGAAAAATAACTTTGGAATATAAAGTAAGTTGATGTTGATGACAATGCAGAAATAGCTATGGAATTTAAAGTAAGTTGATGTCGATGACAATGCAGAAATAGTTATGGAATAAAAAGTAAGTTGATGTCGATGACAATGGAGAAATAGTTATGGAATAAAAAGTAAGTAGATGTGGATGACAATGGAGAAATAACTTTGGAATATAAAGTAAGTTGATGTCGATGACAATGCAGAAATAGCTATGGAATATGAAGTAAGTTGATGTCAGTGACAATGGAGAAATAGTTATGGAATATAAAGTAAGTTGATTGTCAATGAAAATGGAGAAATAGCATTTGAGTATAATGTAAGATTGATGTAGATGTAATTGACCTTGCTGTAATACACTCTGTGTTTCTGTTAGATGTATTTCTATTTGTATCCATCTGATGAGTTATGCCTTTTTCAACTGATTTTTATAGTTTGTTCTTATGTTGTACTGTTACACCACTGTCCAAGGTTAGGGGGATGGTTGAGCCCTCACAAACATGTTTAACCCCGCCACATTCTTTATGTGCCTGTCCCAAGTCAGGAGCCTGTAGTTCAGTGGTTGTTGTTGGTTCATATCTGTGATATTTTTTTTTCGTAAATTGTTTTGTTATAAATTAGGCCGTTAGTTTTCTCAATTGAATTGTTTCATATTTTTCATGTCTGGGCCTTTTTAGCCGACCATACAGTATGGGTTTTTCTCATTGTTGAAGGCCGTACGGTTGCCTATAATTGCTTACATCCTTTGGTGGATAGGTGTCTCATTGGCAATCATACCACATCTCCTTATTTTTATATGGAGTACAATGTAAGATTTAAGTAGACATAGATAACAATGAAGAAATATTTATGGAGTAAAATGCAAGTTTTAAGTAGATGTAGTTGACATTGCTGAAATAGCTATGGAGTACAATGTAAGATTTAAGTAGACATAGATAACAATGACTAAATAGCTATGGAGTACAATGTAAGATTTTAGTAGACATAGATAACAGACCTGGGGTCAATTACATGCCAAAGTAATTAATTACATTTCAATTACATTGATTTTTAAATGTAATTAATTACATCACAATTACATTGATTTTCAAATGTAATTAATTACATTACAATTACAGTGCCAATGTAACTAGTTACATTTCAATTACTTTTGTCCAAAGACATGTAAGAGCTATATCATTTTGAATAAAATCATAAAAATGGCAACAGGCTAAAACAGAATGAAACTTTTAAATATACGTGGACTTCACAACAGTGAAAACATCAATTTGTAAAAGATTTGTTTTAAGTTTCAAATTTCTAATGTCATTGTTACATTTAATCACCATTAGAATTTAAATTATGATTATTTGATTGCATTTCTTAATTTTATGGGGAAAAAATCATAAAGATATCTTAAAATTTCATGTTTCTACTAAAAATGTTAATTTAGATTTAAAGGTTTTCTCATGAACCTCATGTGAAATTTGAAGTTACTTTTAAGCTTCCATTTATTACAGAAGAGCAATGGTATCATTTTCAAGACTTGTCTTAAATTTGCAAGTCAAAATTGTCAAGTATTTTGGACTCCATTCGTATGTATTGACTGCTGTATTCAAAATTTACAACCAAATGTGTCTCAACCAAATGTTATTAAACTTATACACAACCGTTTTAAAGTTATGCGTGTTTCCAAATACAATAATTGCTGAATTTTTATACGACCGCAAAAAAAATTTTGTGGTCGTACATTGGTATGACGTTGGCGTCGTCGTCTTCGTTGTCGTCGTCGTCGTCCGAATACACATTGGTTTTCGCACTCTAACTTTAGTTTAAGTGAATGGATCTCTATGAAATTTTACCACAAGGTTCAATACCACAAAAGGAAGGTTGGGATTGATTTTGGGGGTTATGGTACCAATAGTAAAGGAATTAGGGGCCAAAAAGGGGCCAAAAATAAGCATTTTTGTAACTTCCAGACATAACTTGTGTGTTAGTGTATGGATCTCTCTGACATTGTACAACAAGGTTCCATATCACATAGGGAATGCTGGGATTGATTTTGGGGGTAATTGCCTCAAAATTTTAGGAATTAGGGGCCAAAAAAGGGGAAAAAAACAAGCATTTTTCTAGTTTCATGACAATAACTTGTGTGTAAGTGTATGGATCTTTCTGAAATTGTACTACAAGGTTCCATATCACAAAGGGAAAGCTGGGTTTGAGTTTGGGGGTAATTGCCCTAAACGTTTAGGAATTTGGGGTCAAAAGGGGGCCAAAAAACACATTTTTCTAGTTTCCAGACAATAACTTGCGTTCAAGTGCATGGATCTCTCTGAAATTGTACTGCAAGGTACCATACCACAAAGGGAAGGCTAGGATTGAGTTTGGGGGTGATGAATCGTAAGGGGGTTCAAAAAATGGGGGGGGGGATTTTTTTTTTTCCTTTTTTTTCTTGTTTTCCTTTTTTTTTTCTTTTAAAATTTTCCATTTTAAGTTGGTTATTTCTGATTTATATTTAAAAGCAAATAATAATGATATGGTAGGAGATACACACCAAACAGGATGTGTAAATTATTATATAATAAGTATTGTGCAATAGCAAGAAATTTTCAATTGCACAGTATTGCACAATAGCAAGAAATCTTCAATTGCACAGTATTGCACAATAGCAAGAAATCTTCAATTGCACAATAGCAAGAAATATCCAATAGCACAATATTGCGCAATAGCAAGAAATTGTCAATTGTACAGTATTGCGCAATAGCAAGAAATATTTAATTGCACAGTATTGTGCAAAAGAAGATACTTTGTATAAATTGCTTATTTCTTGACCAATTTCAATGGGGTTTTATTCTTGAATTCTTGGGGTTCTTTAATATGCTGAATCTAACCGTGTATTTAGTTTTTGGATTTTGGGCCCCGTTTTTAAATTGGTCCACATTGAGGTGCAAAGGGTCCAAAATTAAACTTTTTTTGTTTGTTTGATTTCATCAAAAATTGAATTATTGGGGTTCTTTGATATGCCGAATCTAACCGTGTATTTAGATTCTTAATTTTTGGTTCCGTTTTCAAATTGGTCTACATTAAGGTCCAAAGGGTCCAAAAATAAACTTAGTTTGATTTTAACAAAAATTGAATATATGGGGTTCTTTGATATGCTGAATCTAAACATGTATTTAGATTTTTGATTATGGGCCCAGTTTTCAAGTTGGTCCAAATCGGGGTCCAAAATTAAACCTTGTTTGATTTCAACAAAAATTGAATATATGGGGTTCTTTGATATGCTGAATCTAACCATGTATTTAGATTTTTGATTTTTGGGCCCCGTTATCAACTTTGTCCACATTGAGGTCAAAAGGGTCCAAAATTAAACTTTGTTTGATTTCATCAAAAATTGAATTCTTGGGGTTCTTTGATATGCTGAATCTAACCATGTATTTAGATTTTGGATATTGGACCATAATAGGTGAATGTCCAATTTAAAATTTTTAAGTTCTTACACCACATTCATTCTGTGTCAGAAACCTATGCTGTGTCAAATGTTTAATCACAATCCAAATGCAAAGCTGTATCAAGCTTGAATGTTGTGTCCATACTTGCCCCAACTGTTCAGGGTTCGACCTCTGCAGTCGTATCAAGCTGCGCCCTGCGGAGCATTTTATTAGTTTCTGTTCTCTACTAAAGTTAGCCTCAACCAAATGTTATGAGACTTACACACAATGCTTATTACCACAAAACTCAGACCAAGTTCAAATTTGGGTAGCGTCACTTTTACCGTTCTTCAGTTATGTCCCTTTATAACTATATGATATGCAAGGGGGGGTCATCATCTGTGTCCACATGTGGACACTATCACATTTATTTTTTATTTTTAGATTATTTATGTAAACATGTGAACAAAATCAATGAATTAAATACAAATAAAGATTATTATACATGGTATAATGATTCATGAAATATCAAGGAATGTTATATTTTTTTCATCATGATAAATGTTCTAAAAGTATTTAAAAAAATCAGAAAAAAAAAGTACCAAGTGCATTTCAAATGTAGGAAAAATAAAATTACTAGTTGCATCAGAAAAGCCTAAAATGTTTAAAATTTCCCAGAAAATATTTAAATGTAATTCAAAGTAATTGAAAAGTAATTCATAATTACATGGCAAAAAGGCAATGTAATTCATTACATGTAATTGAAAATATGCTCAATTACACATTACATTCAATTACTTTCAAAATTGTAATTAATAACAGCTAATTACAATTACATTTTTAATTACCCCAGGTCTGATAGATAACAATGACTAAATAGCTATGGAGTACAATGAAAGATTTAAGTAGACATAGTTAACAATGAAGAAATAGCTATGGAGTAAAATGTAAGATTTATGTAGATGTAATTGACAATGCTGTCACTTATACTGTAATAGCTATGGAGTACAATGTAAGATTTAAGTAGACATAGATAACAATGAAGAAATAGCTATGGAGTGAAATGTAAGATTTATGTAGATGTAATTGACAATGCTGTTACTTATACTGTAATAGCTATGGAGTACAATGTAAGATTTAAGTAAACATAAATAACAATGAAGAAATAGCTATGGAGTGAAATGTAAGATTTATGTAGATGTAATTGACAATGCTGTTACTTATACTGTAATAGCTATGGAGTACAATGTAAGATTTAAGTAGACATAGATATTTCAGGATTTCATTATTAAGATTTACTTCTTCTGATTACAGGTGCAGTCAGTTCCAACAGTTTTAGGAATTAGAAATGGGAAAGTTCTTGACCAGTTTATTGGACTACAGGATGATGATCAAATCAAAACATTTGTAGAGAAATTAGTTAACTAATCCAATGTGATAACAGATAAACAGTAACAGAAGTGTAATATTGTCACAGATATACATACAGAATTAATTGGATCACAGCCCTTGTTTTAAGCACTGTATGAAGTATATTGTCTTTATGCTTGAAATTTATTGAGTCTATTTCTTAAAAAAAGCACCAAAAACTATAGACCTTATATCTAATTTCCTTCCATTGCTGGACATTTCTAAAGTTCCTGTAAAATTGTGACTTCACAAGAGAAAACTTCTGACACTTCAAACGAAAAGAGGTTGTAGCATGTCATCAACAGTTCAAGTGTGGCAGATTCCCCAATAGCAATAAGGTCTAAATTAACCCACTAAAAACTATTTTATATAAAACAATAAAATATTATATATACATACTATATGCGTAAGCTGATTTTTTACAGTAATAATGGTGATTTTAATTGATATGTGAAGTTAGTAATACACTTAAGTATTGTATTATGGTAGGTGAATTCTACAAAGTTAATGATTCTGGTGAAATTAAGGGAATCAGTCTGAAATTTATATTACAACTATGACATGGTCATTTCTACAAAGGTCAATGTTTCTTGTGATGTTAAGTGAATCAGTCTGATTTTATGGTACACCTAAGCCAAGGTCATTCTACAAATGTCTATATGTTGGTGATATTAAATGAATCAGTCTGAAATTTATAGTACACCTAAGCCAAGGTCATTTCAACAAAAGTGAATATTTCTTCTTATGCCAAGTGGGGCCTCTGTGGCCAAGTGGTCTAAGTAGTTACTACTGTAATCACTAGCCAGTCAACACTGAGGTTGTGAGTTCGAACCCCGCTCCTGCGGGTGCACTCGACTCCAATCTTAATTGACTAGGATTTTCAGTTTTCCTATCGAAGGTCGGTGGTTTTCTCTGGGCACTCCGGCTTCCTCCACCAATAAAAACTGGCCGCCACGAAATAGCCCAAAAGCAGTGCTAAAAAGTGGCGTTAAAACACCAAAAATCAAATCAAATCTTATGCCAAGTGAATCAGTTAGAAATTTATATTTCATCTAAGCCAAGGTTTTGTTGACATTTCTTGTTATGTAATTTATAGTACAACTAAGCCAAGGTCATTTCTACAAAGGTCAATGTTCTAGTGATGTTCATGATGTTCAGTGAATAAGTCAACAACTTATAGTACACCTAATCAGTTCATTTCTACAAAGGTCAATGTTCTAGTGATGTTCATGATGTTCAGTGAATAAGTCAACAACTTATAGTACACCTAATCAGTTCATTTCTACAAAGGTCAATGTTCTAGTGATGTTCATGATGTTCAGTGAATAAGTCAACAACTTATAGTACACCTAATCAGTTCATTTCTACAAAGGTCAATGTTCTGGTGATGGTCAGTGAATAAGTCAACAACTTATAGTACACCTAATCAGTTCATTTCTACAAAGGTCAATGTTCTGGTGATGGTCAGTGAATAAGTCAACAACTTATAGTACACCTAATCAGTTCATTTCTACAAAGGTCAATGTTCTAGTGATGGTCAGTGAATAAGTCAACAACTTATAGTACACCTAATCAGTTCATTTCTACAAAGGTCAATGTTCTGGTGATGGTCAGTGAATAAGTCAACAACTTATAGTACACCTAATCGGTTCATTTCTACAAAGGTCAATGTTCTGGTGATGGTCAGTGAATAAGTCAACAACTTATAGTACACCTAATCAGTTCATTTCTACAAAGGTCAATGTTCTGGTGATGGTCAGTGAATAAGTCAACAACTTGTCAATGTTCTGGTGATGGTCAGTGAATAAGTCAACAACTTATAGTACACCTAATCGGTTCATTTCTACAAAGGTCAATGTTCTGGTGATGATGAGTGAATCATTCTGTAGGGGGGGGGGGGGGGGGGGGGCTAGTGGGCCCAGGCCCCCTTTTGTGTGGGAAAATTTTGGTTGATTATTTAGGGAATCACTGGAGCGGTCCCCCTCTTGTGGCAGTCAGTGGGTCCCCATTATGATTATGAAAATTTCTGGATCCGCCACTGGAATCAATCTGAAATTTATTTTAAAACAAACCCAATATAAAAATAAGGATATGTGGTATGATTGCCAATTAGACAACTATCCACCAAAGTTCCAACAATGAGAAAAAATCTATACTGTAAAGTCGGCTTTAAAAGGCCCCAACATGAAAAATTTGAAGTAATTCAATTCAGAAAACTAAAGGCCTAATAATAGAAAAAAAAACAAATATTACAGACATGAACTAAAGACAACCAGGCCATTTCTACGAAGGTCAATCTCATTTTAATAAGGGACTTCCGTTTTGAATTTTACTTGGAGTTCGGTATTTTTGTTATTTTACTTTTTTGTAATGTTAAGTGAATCTGTCAACAATTTACAGTATGTATTTTGAATATTCAAAAGAAACATTGATAACACAGTAGTACAACTAAGCCAAGATCATCTCTATTACAATCAATCAATAGATGCTAGGGTTTTCCTATATTCAAAACAAATATTAATAACACAGTAGTACAACTAAGCCAAGATAATAATATATATAAAAAATGATATAATCAAAATCAATTTAATAATTATGACTTTTTACATTTATTTTTAATTGAAATACATTCTATGTCAAATGTATAATTCAATGAATCAGACCTATTTTTGTGATTAATTGTATGTTTATTTAAGTAATTATCAAGGTTGATGCTTGAATTATATAATAAATAATATTGTACAATATTGTTTAAGATTGAGTGTTGTCCAACATTTTACCCTCAGGAGTACTTCTTAGAATTACTGTGGAAGGTTTTTAGATAACTTCATGGAGGCTGAAATTACTACAGAGGTAGTTCGACATGATTGTAAAAGATCCTTACATGGCATTACTGTTAAGATGGTTATCATAATTGTTGAAAGTGTTAATATTACTCCAGAGGTGGTTGCCATAACTATTAAAAGTCTTAACATTACTGCGAAGAAGGTTGCTATAACCGTTGAAAGTGTTAACATTACTCCAAAGGTGGTTGCCATAACTGTTGAAAGTGTTAATATTACTCCAGAGGTGGTTGCCATAACTGTTGAAAGTGTTAATATTACTCCAGAGGTGGTTGCCATAACTGTTGAAAGTGTTAACATTACTCCAAAGGTGGTTGCCATAACTGTTGAAAGTGTTAACATTACTCCAAAGGTGGTTGCCATAACTGTTGAAAGTGTTAACATTACTCTAAAGGTGGTTGCCATAACTGTTGAAAGTGTTAACATTACTCCAAAGGTGGTTGCCATAACTGTTGAAAGTGTTAACATTACTCTGAAAAAGGTTGCCCATACCGTTGAAAGTGTTAACATTACTCCAAAGGTGGTTGCCATAACCGTTGAAAGTTTGAACATTACTCTATCGGTGGTTGACTTTTCTGTTGAAAGTGTTAACATTAATGCAAAGTTGGTTGCCAATTCTGTTGACAATGTTAACAATACTCAATAGTTGATCGGCATTATTGTTGAAAGTGTTAATAGTGTTCCATAGGTGGATGGCATAAATTTTACTCCAAAGGTGGTTGCCATAACCGTTGAAAGTGTTAATAGTTCCATAGGTGGTTGCCATAACCGTTGACAGTGTTAACACTACTCTATCGGTGGTTGGCATAACTGTTGAAAGTGTTAACATTGCTCAATTTGTGGTTGATATTACTGTTGAAAGTGTAAAAAGTACCCAATTAGTAGTAACTAATTGTAAATCCTAAATTTTAAAGGCTAGACGACCTGGATACTTCATTTTTTGTTTACAGATGCCTTACATTACAAGGTTCCATCGGTCATATGTCTCATATTCATGATTAGACGAGTGCGTTAAAAACTATATTCTTTTTAAACCTGAATTTCTCACTCGTTATGCACAATAGGGTAAGTAAATTTGGTATATGGAATCCTTGCAAGGTCTACCTTTTTGTGAGTCACAGTTCACCGTGACCTTATTTACTGAACCAGTGATCAAGGTTAGATTTCGATGTATATTTAAGTTTTTATAAGGAATAGGTCAACAACTATATTTGTCGTATGGAAGGACTGTAGTGTGTACATGTCTGTCTGTCAGGGTTCATAAGACCTTGACCTCATTTTCATGGTTTAGTGGTAAAAGTTAAGTTTTGGAGTTTTGTCTGTTTACTATTAGCGAGAGGCCAACTATATTTGGTGTATGGAATGATTGTATTGTACATGTCAGATTGACAGGGTTTATATGACCTTGGTCTCATTTTCGTGGTACATTGGTCAACGTTAAGTTTAAGTGGTTTTGTATGTTTCTTAGATACTTTTAGCAATAGGTCAAGTATAGTTGTTGCATGGACTGATTGAAACATGTGCAGGGTTCACGTACCTTGAACTAATTAAGGTTTATATAAGTTTTCTAGACCTGCTTTAAAAAAATCTCAAAATATTATTCAGATATAAAAAATTAAGTAGGCGAGACATTTCAGCGTGTGCAATCTGGTTTTATTTTGAGGGGACATAAAAATTTTGTTTCTCTAAATATTAATTATGTACATCATGTATTGTCTTGATATATAAATTTCCTTTACACAAGACCAAGAAACAGAAAAATTGCGAGAACAGCAGGCACAGAAGAGAATAATTAACTGTCAAAAACAATTACTTAATGCTAGAACAAATAATTTAAATGTGAATAATTTTATTTCATTGCCAATTCAATTTTGCATGTACACCTCCATCTTTCAAATCTACTTGTTTAATTTTATAGACTGGTTTCAGTAATAAAACATTGAAATTTCTAATGATTATTTTCTTTACCAAATGTACAAGTTTGTTTAGATTGAAATAAAATAATATGTTTTGCTTTATGGTATGATAATGTGGTAAGAAAATCTTACTGGAACCAACATCAACAACACAATCATTTCTAAATATGCTTAAAATACAACTATTGTCTTCCAGTTGAGCCTTGCAATATTCAAGGTAATCTACAGTGCCCTAATTATCTGGTTGATTGCGAGAAAGTGCCCTTTCAGACAACTAGCACCCTTCTGCCCTGAGATTCAAGCTGGAATACTGCAAGAGTCGTGTGTACCAAGAACAGGTGTTCAAAGGACAATTTTCACAAGAGCGGAAGCTCAAAGGACATTCGTACCAAGAGCTAGTGCTCAAAGGTCATTTGTACCAGCAACAGGAACTTGAGATACATTTATACGAAGAGTACGTGTTCATAAGACATGTGTACAAATTACAGTAGCTCAAGGGACAAGAACATGGGCGCAAACAAGGTTAGAAAACGAGAGGCGAAGGATACCAAAGGGACATTCAAACTCATAAGTGAAAATAAATTGACAACGCCATGGCTAAAAAAGAAAATGACAAACAGATAAACAACATTAAACAAAAACACAAAATAGAGAAAACCAAAGACTCAGCAACACGAACCCCACCAAAAACTGGGATGATCACAGGTTCTCCGGAAGGGTAAGCAGACCCTGCTCCACATGTGGCACCCGTCGTGTTGCTCATGTTAGTACAAACCCGTTGACAGTCTAATTCGGTAGGTCACTTTCGGGGAAAAAGGGAAGGGATTGTAGTTACGACAATTGGAAGATATCCGTTGTTATCTGTGAAACGGATATTCCATAACGGTCAACCAACTCGTGATGGCGTCCGTAAAATTTACGAAGGGACAATTTCAACTTCACCACTTGGAACTCTTGGTTTAATAGCTTCTTTGTGAGCAGCAACCCTCTGTCAAGGAAATCATGATAGGGAATACAAGCTCTGGAATACCGTATCAACTGGTAGACATACACTCCGTATGCAGGCGCTGCTTGAATGTTACTACATAAAAATGGAAAGTGCACAATTGGGAAGCTGAAATCATCTCTTTTGTCGTAAAGTTTTTATTTAAATCAATGATATTTATCTACCTGTACTATATATGTGCTCTTGTACGCAGTGTGGTATGTTTTTGCTTTATTACCCCTTTGTTTATGTAATTTTTTTTTTTTTAATTTTTTTTTTTTTATATGTAGATTAGATGGCCACGGGACGGATTAACTGTTTTGTTGACTGTGTAACCTTCTGAAAATTTATATTATATTATATTATAAAGTTTTGTTTTCAACCGACCATCTATGTCAATTTCTAGGTGTAAGTCCAAGGGTGAACACAGGGTAGGTATTTTAATCGGATTGTACTTGTAAACAGAAAGAATATATTTGTAGAATATAATTTCAAATGCACCTTTTCTGCAGTGCAATTATCTTCATTTTGATTTAAAGTCAATTAACCATTCCTGAACGTAAATGATTACACACAATCACGTACATCTCTGAGAAATACCCACGATTATTTTCTAAAACTTATCGCATAAGATAAGGGAGTTAGCGTTTAAATAAAAAGAATGTCAATTTAACTTGTAAAAATGAAACTATTTTGTTATATTTGTGAAAAAAGTATTCCCATCAAATTCACTTCCAGGAATGTTGATATGTGTTCGTACATCTTAGATTTTTTTGAAATATTGAGCTGCAAGGTAACACCAAGGTAACACCAATCTGACAGCAACAACACGACACAAATTCATAACTAGTAAGTTTCTACCATACTTGATGGTCTCAAACGAAGGACATGCTACTTTCATGTATTTGCATCTCGAGTTCGTTAAGTTGGACTACTGCTGTATAGAACTTCTAAAACATGTTTTCTGACAGGCTTTACGGAAATCTTGCTTGTACCATGCATATATAACTGGGTTAATGACGCTGTTCAGCATTCCAAGGAATACGAGCCAGTGTGATGTTTCTTGAAGATTGAAATCTGTCGAATAACCATTGGCAAATGCAAACGAAAAAAACATGAATGGTGTCCAGCATATTGTAAAAGCTATTGTTATAATCAACATGACCTTCGCCCCTCGTATATTTTTATGAAGTTTTTTGTCCTCAGTTTCCATTTCATATAGTGGTCTTGTTCTTTTGTAGAATTTTCTTATCTTGAAGAAGATGAGAAAGTGTGCAACGAATGAAAGGCCATTCAATGAACAAACAATAGTAGAAGTTGTCCAGAAAAACTCGGGAGAGTAAACAAGACTAAAGCTACAGCTTGGTGCAGTATCCCATTCGTTCCATCCGAAAAATGGCGGGAGTGATAATGACATTGAAATAAGCCATGGTAAAGTAACAATAACACTGGATAATTTTTTCGTAAGGATTTGTTTATATAGATCTTGTTGACAGATAGCAATGTAACGATCAATTGACAGGAGGAATACGGTGACATGTGATGCGATGGTCATACAACCTACTACCTGAAAACGTAATAGGCAGGAGACTACGTTCTGATTCAAATGACGGTAAAATACGTAGAGAATCTGAACCCCTGAGGACATTCCTGTGAAGAAATCGGCTATTGCAAGATTCAATACAAAGACGTTTGAGTTGTCCTTGAGACTCATGTGTCTCAATACCACGTAGATAACAAAGAAGTTGCCGGTACATGCAATAACGAACACAATTTGCTGTAGAGTGAGGAAAACTGTTAGTAATGTAGGTAACGCCAGTGGTAAGCTGCTAGAATTGTTTACTAAAGACGCAGTGTCATCTGGTGTCAGGTTAAACGACATGTTGACAATCCAATCTTAATATACCTACAAAAAAGAATGAAATGTATTATAAAAATAAGAAGATGTGGCATGATTGCCAAATGGACAACTATCCACCAAAGTTCAAATAAAGTAGATGTAATCAATTATAGGCAACCGTATTGGCCTTCAACAATGAGAAAATAGTCGGCTATAAAAGGCCCCGACATGAAAGATATGAAACATTTCAATCTAGAAAACTAACGACCTAACTTATAACAAAACAATTTACGAAAAACAAATATGACAGACATGAACCAACGACAACCACTGAACTAAGGGCTTCTGACTGGGGACTTACTTACTTACTTACTTAGTCCTTGCTATGCCTTATGGCACATAGGGCAAGGACAAGTTTACTCCACTCTTCTCTGTTGTTTGCTTTTTTTCCACTGTGCCCCAGGTATATCCTCTTTTCTTTAATTCATTTTCTATAGTGCGTCTCCATGTTGTTTAAGGTCTTCCTCTTTTTCTTTTTCCTTCTGGTGTCCATCTAAGGGCTACCTTGGTCATGTCTTCAGATGGTTTGCGTAGAACATGACCAAGCCACCTCCATCTCTTTTGTATCAGCAAAGTCTCCATGTCCTTGGTGTTGGTAATCTCATGTAAGTCTTTGTTGGAGATTTTGTTAGGCCAGAATATTTTCATAATCTTCCTCAGACATGTGTTATGGAAGCTTGAGAGTCTGTTGATGTCTTTATCAGTCATTCTCCAGCACTATGAGCCATATAGGAGTACAGATAATACACAGCTGTTATATAGTCTGAGCTTGGTCTTCTTTGAAAAGGCTGTTGTTTTCCAGATGTTGCCTAATCTAGTGAATGCTGATCTAGCTTTTCCTATTCTGATCTTTATATCTCTTTCAGCACCACCTTCTGTTGTTATACAACTTCCTAGGGAATTAAATGAGTCTACTGTTTCCAGCTGTTTCCCTTCTACAAATATGACAGGGTGTCTCTCTGCGTTGAGGTACATTAACTTCGTCTTTTTGGCATTGATCTTAAGTCCAATCATTTTAGAATTTTCTTCTAGCTTTTTGGTCTTCTCCTGCATATGATCTTCGGTATGCGATAAAAGTGCCAAATCATCAGCATAGTCTATGTCCTCAAGCGTGGTACATAGTGTCCATCTCAGTCCGGTGTTACTTTCTGCTAGGGTTGTTCTCATTACACAATCAATGGCAATTATAAAAAGCACGGATGACATAACACATCCTTGCCTTACTCCTGATTTTACAAGGAAACTAGTGTCAGCTTCAGAGTTGATGGTACATGAGAAGTTTGTATAGAACTGCTTGATGAGTTGTACTATCTTACTCGGTATTCCATAGCTTCTCAAAATTTCCCAAAGACTTTCTCGGTGTAAGCTGTCAAAGGCTTTTTCGAAGTCCACAAAATTTACAAATAGTTTTCTCTGCCACTCATAGCACTGTTCTAAGATTTTTCGTATGACAAATATGTGATCTGTGCAACCTCTACCTTTTCTGAAACCAGCTTGTTCTTGTCGTAGTTTCTTATCCACAGCGTCTATGATTCTTGATATCAAAATTATGCAGAAGATCTTACTTGGAACGGATAGTATGGATTTAATGTACGGATAACAAAATCAATATTTATACCCATAAAAACAATATTCAACGATCTAATTACAGTGTTGAATTCGTAACCTTTTATAATAAGTTTATTAAAAGGACTGATAAGTTACCCCGGGACGTATCTATATTTCCGGCCTTGGTAAACAAAATCACCGTAAAAATTAGGATGTGCTATCCCGTTTGGAATAAGTTTTCTACAGGTACAACCACGAGAACGAGTTGGGTATAAACACAGTAAGACGGTGCCCAAGGAACATCACCGTCCAGAAAAGGAAAATTAACCCTTCTGTCATAAATTTTTGTGTAGAGTTTCTCGTGAAAAACAGAAATATCTAAATGTAGGAAAGGATAGTTATTGCTGTTGATATTTGATTCATTTAAAGTACCTTTGAGTAAATTTCGGCAGTATATTTAGAGAATTCTTGATTATTTAACGAAAACATTATCATCGAGAATTTATCAATTAAATGGAATTTAGACGGGTCTTTACTGAGTTTGGCGACACACTGTGATTCATAACAGTACAGGAACAAGTCTGATATTAAAGAGGAACAATTGGTGCCCATAGGAATACCTACAATCTGTCGATAAACTTTATTGCCGAAAAGTACATAAAAGTTGTCGACGAGAAAATTTACAGCTTCAATCATCTCATCACACCTACAGTAAGTGTGTCTAGAATGTTTACCTTTCTCATTAGAGAAAAGGCTTTATATGAGTTGCAGCGCATAGATTTGCATAGATTTGCTATCAGATTTATCAAACAAAAATGTAATTAAATAAGAAGACTGTGTGGAAGTGTAGTATAAGTGCCTCCATATGATGAAGACATAATCTTTCAATCAGTTTAATTGAGGTCTGGAGCTGACATGTCAGTAACTGCTAGCAGTCCATTGTTAATTTATTTATCATTTATTTAGTTTCTTCGAATTCTGTTACCTATTCTAACATCGGATTCGGACTTTTTTTAAACTGAGTTTTACTGTGCGTGTTGCTGTGTGTTTGTTTATTCAACATTAGCTAGAGATATAGGGGGAGGGTTGAGATCTCACAAAATATGTTTAACTCCGCCGCATTTTTGCGTCCTGTCCCAAGTCAGGAGCCTCTGGCCTTTGTTTATATGTTTTTTTAAATTTTGGTTCATTTATATGTTTCGGAGTTTAGTGTGACGTCCATTTTCGCTGAACTAGAACACATTTTTGTTTAGGGGCCAGCTGAAGCCCGCCTCCGGGTTCGGGATTTTCTCGTTGTGTTTAAGACCCATTGGTGTCCTTGGGATGTTTTCTTCTCTTTGGTCGGGTTGTTGTCTATTTGACACATTCCCCGTTTCCATTCTCAATTTTATAAAGAGTGGAAAAGTCAAACTTGACTGTAAACCGGATCAAAAGGACGTAATTAATCTTAAACATCCAAAGATTTTTTTAAATCCAAAAATAGTTAATTCCACTATTTTCATATGTTTTATTACAAAAAGTTAATGATAAGTTAGTGATAAGTCCTTTGATAGTAGTTAGAAGCACTGAAATATTAGTTGTAAAGCCTTGAATTAAGCTATTTAATAATAAATTGGTCTGTAATTCACATCCTTGTTCTTTGGTCTTCAATGGAAAGCTGTCCCATTAGCAATCATACAACGTTACATATTCTTATATGGAATATTCATATAAATTATTTGACTTTATAATTATAGCCGATGGACTATTAGCTTCTTTCGCCTATGATTTGTATCATCCGTCATATGTTCTGGACTACTATCTTCACCTGCTATTCTTTGTATCATCCATCATGTGGTCTGGACTATTATCTTCTCTCACAATGGATTGTAACATCCGTCATGTATTCTGGACTATTGGTTTCTCCTGCTAGGCTTTGTATCATCCGTCATGTGTCCTGGATTTGTAGCTTTTCCCGCTATGAATTGTATCATCCGTCATGTTAACTGGATTATTAGCTTCTCCCGCTATGCTTTGTATCGCACGTCGTCTGTCCTGGACTATTATCTTTTCCCGCTATGAATTGTATCATCAGTCATGTGTCCTGGACTATTATCTTTTTCCGCTATGAATTGTATCATCCGTCATGTGTCCTGGAATTTTAGCGATTCCCACTTTGAATTGTATCAGCAGTCATGTGTCCCGGATTTTTAGCTTTTCCCGCTATGAATTGTATCATCAGTCATGTGTCCTGGATTTTTAGCTTTTCCCGCTATGAATTGTACTATCCGTCATGTATCCTGAATTTTTAGATTTTCCCGCTATGTATTGAATCATCAGTCATGTGTCCTGGATTTTTAGCTTTTCCCGCTATGAATTGTATCCTCCGTCACGGCATGTGCTTTGGACTATCAGATTCTCCCGCTCCGTCATGACATCCATCTAAAAGACCAAAACCAATGCACAAAATAAAACACAGAAAACTAAAGATTGAGAACCACGAACCCAACAAAAAAGAGGGAATTCACTCAGATGCATTCAAGTACTCCGAAAGTGTAAGTACTCCCTTCTGCTAGTCTGTCGTGTTGTTCATGGGAAGTAAATGTTTGATGAAAAATTGCATGACTGCCAAACGCATTTATGTTGTTGAAAGTTGCATTTATGAGATGGTCATGAATGGCTTAATTTATGATAATAATATTATTTTGTTGTTGTTGTTATGTTATCAAGGCTACCGTAACTGTCATAGCGACAGTTTATCACACATAAGCACCACTTATTTAAAATTTACTACCCCATTTGACTCAGCGGTATGTATTCACCTTTGGTAAAAAAGCAAAATGAAATGAAGAGGATGAAACGGGGTGCTCATTTCCCAAATCCCGCTGTTTGTAATTTTTTCCCACTTTCCACTTTTTACTATTCTTTTTCCCAGATCCCTCTCTAGTTTACTCCCTATATCCCACATCCCACTTAATCCAAACTCCATGAACGCATAACAAACTTATACTACAACAACTCTTTATGATGACGTCATTTGGCTAAGAGGGATGCCATGACAGCCCATGCAACAACTCTTTCTGGTGACGTTTGTTTGGCTAAGGGGGATGTCACAACAGCCCATGCAACAACTCTTTCTGATGACTTCTGTTTGGTTAATGGGGATGCCATGACAGCCCATGCAATAACTTATTCTGATGACGTCTGTTTGGCTAAGGGGGATGCCATGACAGCCCAAGCAACAAATCTTTCTGACGGACGTTTGTTTGGCTTAGGGGGATGCCATGACAGCCCATACAACACTCTTTCTGATGACGTCTGTTTGGTTAAGGGGGATGCCATGACAGCCCATGCAACATCTCTTTCTGATGACGTCTGTTTGGGTATGTGGGACGTACTCCAGACTCCATAAATGCATACAAACAGCCCATGCAACAAATCATGCTAATGGCGCC